GCTGCGGCGGCGGCGGCACGGCGTTTGGGTCCACGGCTTGCTGCCGCTGCCGCCGCCGCAGGGGTGCTGCTGCGGCGGCGGCGGTAGCGCACGTGGCAACCCCCCGCGTTTCCTTGCCTCCCATCCACCGGACCCCGTCCTGCGCTTCACTTTGTTTAGGGAGGGGCTGCTCACTGCTCATTGCTCATTGCTCATCGCACACTGCTCAACGCTCATTGCCCTATATCCCACCCAGCCGCAGGACTCTACTGCCGCCCGCGCCCCGCCCCATCTGGCCGCTTGCCCGCCCCATCCCCCCTCGATGGGGCCCGCCCACACCGGGGCCTCCCCCCTCCCGCCCACTGCTTTCTCAACGGCCTCGAGCCGGGGCTGCCCTCATTGCATACATAGTGCGCCTTTCCCTGCTTTTCTAGTGACCTAGCGTTCCGCACTGCCGTTTGGCCAGCCCATGCTCCCGTACCGTTGCGTTTCTCCCCAATGCGCCATGCCACTTTGCCAGTCATACACACGTTTCGATGCGTGCCCTGTCAGCTGCTTGCGTTGCATGTCGCCTTGCTCCACCCCTGTTTTATTGCTTTCTCTGCTTTCGCCCGGTTCCCGTCCCGTTTCGGCGGGGAGTCTATGTTGCAAGCTAGTTCTTGCTTTACCAGACTTTAAGCCCACACAAGCAAGCAAAGCCTACATTAAACCGTACATTACATGAGTCATGTCCCCTCGTGCACAGCACATCGGCTATCTCGAGGGGCTGGGCAATAACGATGAAATGCTAAAGTAAAGTAAAGTAACGATTTAATGGTTCACTGCTGTCCTGGGACGCATTTACCACGACAGTAAAGAGTTCAACGTAAAGTTTACAGCGGGCGGCGGCAGATTTGTGAAAATGCCGTAAAACCTGCTTTTGAATGGTCAATTGGTCATAACGATAGGACTGGGAGTTGTATGAAGCCCAGTTGGCCAGTCCGTGGGGAGTTGGACATACATGGCGGCGACGTCGCCGCCATCGATGGTGGCATCCCGAAGCAGGGATGGCTGGTCATGGTTGTCTGTCTATCTGTCTGTCTGTTACACCCATAAGGAGCAAATGAATGCTACGGACCCAGCTGTGGTGCAGCAGCTGGAAAGGTGAAGGCACCATACACAAACGGGGAGAGAGAGAAGGGGGGGGGGGGGGGGGGGGGGGGCAAAAAAAAAAGGGGGGGAAA